ATTTACCATCAATACATACCATTAAACAAAGAAAGGAGATGTTATCTTAGCACAGGGACAGACAAAACCGTTACACTGAGTTTAAAGTTGTGCGAAGAGCTTATCGTTCATGAGGGCTGTGCGAAATTTCACTGGCTGTTTCATTTCAACACTGTTTCAACTCATTTCGAGCACAAAACAGTGAAATTGAAATGAAACAAAGGGCTTCGAAACAGCCTCAAAAAAACCAAGGGCAGTCGAAATGTTTCAAGCTTCAAAGCAGCCCACCTGAATTCCCTTCCCCAGCACTAGGATTGATCGGGCTGGGCAAAGGAACTGAGCCCAATTGCTCAGTTCTCTCCCCCAGCACTCCAATCCATTGGGCTGAGGAAGGGAACTGAGTTCCCTTCCCCAGCCAAATCCTAGTGCTGGGGAGAGGAACTCAGCTGGGCTAAGTTACCTTCCCCAGCCCAATGGATTGCAGTACTGGGGAGGGGAACTGAGCGATGGAGCTCAGTTCTCTTCCCTAGCCTGATGGATCACAGTGCCGGGGAGGAGTACTGAGTGATGGGGCTCAGTTCCCTTCCCCAGCTCAATCAGGCTAGGGAAGGAAACTGAGCCCGATCACACAGCCCCTGTACCCCTCCCAGGGCTGTGGCCCCTAATCTGCCTGCTGGATGAGAGAAACCAGGTGCTGCTGACTGGGACCAGCGGCATGCTGGTGCTGGTGCTGGTTCCAGGCGGCAGCATCCAGCTTCCCTCCCTCATCTGGCAGGCAGATCAGGGGCCCGCAACCCCAAGAGGACTGCCACAGCCCCTGCAGCCCTCCCAGGGTTGCAGACCCCCAATCTGCCTGCTGGACGAGAGAGGCTGTTTTGACTTTCCCCATTATAGACTATGGGTGGAACTCGAAACAGCGGCAAAAAAGCGTCACTGTTTTGATTAAATGAAACAGAGCAGCGGTTTTGAATCAAAACGCAAATCAAATGGCATGGTGCCGTTTCGCAGAGCCCTATTATGCACCAACTGATCCATTGTAACTCCATGTGTTTGTTCTAATCGCACATTAAGTGAAAGTTAAATTGTTGCAATAACCCTGAATGAAGCAACTACTTAGTTACTGTGATTTCTCCTCTCCAATTCTACTTCCCGCTTGGTCTCTTCCTGGGGTACTTCCTGCATATATGCACAATGTCTTCTAGCATTTCTACCCAAAAATTTGTCTTGCTTTCTTTAAGGGCCAACTGCCTGACTTCTTTCAAAACAGCAAGTTTTACCCAAGACTTCTCATTCAAGGAGAGCAGGCCTTCCAGATCATCCCCTCTAGACTGTATTCACACACAGATTCATAGAAGTTTAGGGCTGGAAGGGACCTTCGGCCTGTCATCTATGAAAGGTACTGCCATAATCATAGCATTTGTTTTTCTATGTTTGTGACTTTTGTTTAAACAAAAGATTTGCCTCTCTCTCCCTTGTATTTTCCCACCGATAGAGGTCATACCCTTGTCCCAACATGTGATGGTTTGGACTGACAAACCTACCAGCTCATTAAATTTAATAAACTAAAGTTGTCACTAGCTTCTCCCACTCTACAGCCCCCAAGTCTAGAGACATTGGTTTCTGGCCAACTAATAACCAGAGGGCTGTTTGGAAGTACAAGCTTTCCTGATTTCCCACACTGGAAACGGGGGCCTACAGCATCCTTCTTTTGGCAACAAGCTTCTTGTCACTGGGCCTCAAAATAAACTTTCTGCATTTGTTGGGCTACTCCCAGTGTCTCTTGCTAGGTCTACTGATCCTGCAAAAGTTGTAAAAGGACCACCCAGGTCTGTTGTTACCAGAGGATCTTTCTCCCATCATCTCTACTGATAGGCAAACTCCACCAGGAGCTTTTCTGCCTCAATCTCACTTTCTGGTCTGCTCACATTTCCACCACAAGGAGCCAGCAGTTTGCCTGTTTCCCTAATCTGAGGAGGGTTTACTGCCACACCCAAGTTCCCTTTCACAGATTTAGTCTTCAGCAGAGTATAGGCAAGGCATCAAAGTGAACGGAGCTCCGCTCATCCTGACTTACTGCTCTTTCCCATCATTCTCCCTACTTCACAACCTACTAGAAGATTTTGCAACCTTCCAACAACCCTCTGCAGTATCTTTCTGTCCCTTACAGGAAATACGTCCTATCTGAGTCTGCTAACTGGACAGCGATAGCTGGACCCTTAGGTCTTAAAGTGAGAGACCATCCTGGACAGCCCCATTTTAAGGTTGCTTCTCCAATGATAGCCAATATCTCGGCTCTTACCTCAGTCCCCCTCCTTATTGGCAGTATCACAGACTAAGAGTGGACCAAGGAAAAGGGAATGACCTATGCCACCCAAGATCAAAGAAATTAAATGGGGTTCTGTAACCAGCCTTACAGAAGTCATGGCTTGCACTTGTCCTTTAGGTATGTATAACCAAGGTTATAGGCTATTGGTTCCTTCATTGGTTAAATGAAGTCTTGAATGAAGACATAAGACAGTAAGTTGAACTAATCAATAAAACTCAGAGTGGGGAACCAAGAGAAATGTGACACTGGCTGCGTCTACATGAGATGCTGAATGTTCAGTCATTACTGCACAGTTATTTAGTACTTTCATACACAAGTACTAAATGACTGTGCAGTAACCGGAGTTACTGTGCAGTAGAGTCACTTAACAGCTCTTAGGTGACTCTGACTGTGGAGTAGCCCATTACTACTGTGCAGTAATGTCACATCATGCTTCATGCCATGCAATACTACTGTATAGTAGTAATGAGCTACTGCGCAGTCAGCATCTTGTGTAGATGCGGCCACTGTGGCAGAAATTTCAAACAAAACCAGATTAGACTGTATAACTATTACATTGTACAGGTCAGTCATGCCCCACTTGTTGGTAATGGACTTACTTTATAATCATGAAAAATATCCTTTACATCTCTACCTTCCAGCTATTATTATTATTGTTACTCTGGCAGGGTAAAAAGTGACCAGTTAGGAGCAAGACCCAATCAAGTCAGGTCAAATCAATCAGCTAATTTGAAACCATATCTGACAAGCAACTTAATATGGAGGAAGGTAGAAGTAAGAATGAAGGCAGCAGTAATAAGATATCATTCACATTGGCTGGCTATAAGCACATTTTGATTATTCCAAATCATTTTAGTTTTGTTTCTGCAATGCCAGTCCCAGGGATGTGATACTTTACATCTCATAATCTAGGAATCTTGACATTCATATTAAAGACTTTGGGCCTAAATGACTGCTCACTGAAATCAATGAGAACCCTTCCACTTACATTGTCAAGGCCATGTTCTTAGTGAAACTCCACTGATTTTTTTATTGGATCTCTGTCAGTTTATACCAGATATAAGATCTGGTCTTTAAAACCTGGGGGTGCAAATGTGCATATAAGTATCTCAGAGAGTTCTAATAAATATCAGGAACATTGTAGATTTTGGAGGCACTGAACTGCTAGTAGCTACTTCATGTCATTGCCTCTAAGCCCACTCTCCTAAATTAGCATTTGGTAAAATCACCATGCTTTGGCTTTTCAGTGGCACATGTTAACAGAGTTGGTAGCATCAGTCAACTTCCTAGAGAGAATGAAGAACCATCATAACTCATGGGTTTGCTAGCTGTGAGCTTCAATGCAAGATATGTACATGTAACGTAACACCTTGTAGCATTTGTACTTTAATGTAAATTACACCAGGGTTTGGAATAGACCATCTTTCAGCTAACCTAAAATAACTGCAGTGGCTGCTATTACAGGACCTCACCACTAGGTTAAAAGTGAGGTTAAAGGTGACCTCATCACTAGGTTAAAGGTGACAATGAAATAGCTCATTTCCCTTGATCAAGCACCTAAACTGGGATAACTGCAGACAGATAACACCTAGCAGTCTAAGTTAGACCAGTGTAGCGTTTTACATCTGTTG